TACTTTCTCCAACATATGGGAATGACAGAAGATTCGGACCGTTGCCTGGGTAATTGTAGGCATGGTCCAGTCCAGTGTCGGGCTCATTTTATATGGCAAGATCTCTCCATGAACCTACAGGGTGATGATTTCAAAGCCTCTTGGATTACGGCTATCAATATTCAATGATGGCTTAGCCATTATGGCTACTACAGGCTGTTAGTACAAATATTTCACGACTATTATCTACGTCATGACGATATACAGTATTATTATGATGGATGTATGGTATCTACTATAGATAGTTCCTAAGGAGTATCGCGACTACTACAATGGATGTACGACATCTACTATACTGTGAGTTTTATGCAATTATCACGACTATTATAATGGGTTTACGACATCTACTATACTGTGAGTTTTATGCAATTATCACGACTATTATAATGGATGTACGACATCTACTATACTGTGAGTTTTATGTAATTATTACTGACTACTATAATGGGTGTACGACATCTACTATACTGTGAGTTTTATGTAATTATCACGACTACTACAATGGATGTACGACATCTACTATACTGTGAGTTTTATGCAATTATCACGACTACTACAATGGATGTACGACATCTACTATACTGTGAGTTTTATGCAATTATCACGACTACTACAATGGATGTACGACATCTACTATACTGTGAGTTTTATGCAATTATCAGGACCACTGTAATACGTGTATGTCATCTACTGTATGGTGAAGCCTATCCATTCATCACGACTACTATGACGTCTACTATACTGTGGATCTTATGCAATAATCACGACAAGTATGCGACGACTAGAATGGTTCTACAATATCTATGTATACTAGACTAGTTAAGATACTAAACTAGTTCTGCCGTGGTATACGGCAGATCTTAGGTACTTATAAGGGCTACCATATCCTATGGTCCATAGGACGACGATGATATTTTATGGCATCTCATGCCCCTCAGATTGGAGGCCTTAATTTCCGACTGGTTTCTCCCCACTCTTATTGCCTTGGCCCAAGCATTCGTATATGCTGGAGCAGCATCCCCCACAAATATTTGTGGGGAATTCATTTGGGATGTCGCTTCGCATACGCTCCTGGATAGTTGGATGATGGATGTCTCGTCCTCCTCCAAGCAGAATCCCAAGGATACCACTCGACATTTCGAAGGCGGATCAACATTGGCCAGGACATAGACGGGCATCCCACACCAGGTTCTCTTATAAGTAAAATCGAGATCCAACGACCGACAATCCCCATGGCGGTGCAGTAGGTCCTTGGTAGAGAAAAGCAGTAAAGGGAGTCAGTGGTGCTGTAGCCCGAGCAAAATATGGAATGGGGCTTGTCGGTGATTCTAGGGATGCTCTCACAGAATGGCTCAATTCATCAAGGCTTTCCCCGACCGGTGAACTGTCGTTGAGTCTTCGATTGCAGTTGTACTTGTAGTTACGGATTTGGTTACGGAGCTTCGTGTCGACTCGCTCTATCAACGCATCTTCCCGCAACTCCCTCAGAGTCTGCTGGGTCGGTACTAGTGAGCGGTTGTGACGCTCCACGACCTCACAGATATCAATTCTCAGACCTCTTCCTGCTGGTGGTGAAGAAGCTGGCTCGTGCAGGATATGATTATGCACATCGTTAGGCCCCACCGGCAATTCAATCTTGTAAGAACCATCAGGGAGGAGGAGGGTGTCAGCAGTGTAACGACATCCCTGCCTAAATCTGTAATACCTACATTTGTAGCAGTGAACGCGTGCTCTTTTTCGGTGATGGTCATCAACATGCCACATCCTTCCCTCAGGAGCGAGGTCAGACAAGACGTTCAATGCTGCTCGAGCTTCATCCATAGTTTGGTAAGATGTATCGAGCTCCTCATACGTCTTACTTGCAGCTCGATTCTTCAGGGTGCCCAACTGAATCAGTTGAACTGATCGATGGCACTGGTTTCTCCGTCTATGAAGGTACTCCTCACACTTGAAGTTGCTATGCCCGAAAGTGCCTGTTGTTGCGGTATATGCTCCGCTCGCTTCGCTCGCTCCTCATTCACGCCCGGTAGTCGTCGCCGTAGAGCACGTTAACCCCTGTATGTCTCCATCGAGGACAGAGCAGCCTTTCTCGTAGAAAGGCGTACAGTAGAAATTTTCTACAGGACACGGCAACTCTCCCCATGGCATGGGGCCCATGCAGTATAGAGAGCTTGGGCTCTCCTCTAAAGGAAGACACGCTAGAGATCGCTGAGCATTGACGGCTGAACACAATGTGATGTGTGAATCTGAAAGACCACCTGTCTCTGGAGCTAGTGCATTCCGATGCTGGTGCTCGACATCGTGCCGTAGCGACGCTATGGTCGCATGATGCAACCGCACCACACAACCAGCGTGAGACACAGGCTCGTGCATCACGACGACATGACGGTCATCACGTAAGGTACGGGTCATACAGTTGGTGTGAAATTCAGACTAAATTATAGTCTAGGATATATCTCGAATGATAAACGAGTACATCAGCACTGTGCTGATGGCCCGAGGAGTTCTTGGCAAGATTCTATTTGAACTGTTATGCAAGCTATAATATTCACCCTACATATCTATCATTGTGGCATGGGAAGGCGCCAATGTAGCCTCGGAGAGTACACACCCTCCCATAGTTTAGGCGCACTGTAGGCCCATTCCCGTTCAGTTACATATCCGTCCAATCCACGAACTATTCGAAGTCCTAACTGACTCATCCTAGCTCGACTACGACTTCGTGCTCTCGCTTCCCACCGATATTGAACTCTTCACCCGGGACACATCGCCAACTAGGCTGAGCCAAAGCTGCCATTTCTACCTACACGTATCCTTACTCATGCTCACTACCGCGACACCTTGAGTTAGCATAGTGTAGGCCCATTCCCGATCGGCTGCATATCAGTCCAATCCACGAACTATTCGAAGTCCTAACTCACTCGTCCTAGCTCGAGTACGACTTCGTGCTCTCGCTTCCCACCGATATTGAACTCTTCACCCGGGACACATCGCCAACTAGGCTGAGCCAAAGCTGCCATTTCTACCCACTCGCATGCTCACAACCGCGACACCTTGAGTTAGCATAGTGTAGTCCCATTCCCGATCAGTTGCATATCAGTCCTGTTAGGATTAGATAACTCAACAAGAGTTATTAACAAGTGGTTCTTAACTAATGATCAACACAGTAATCATACAGTATACGCTAGGCTAGCAAGGGAGACTAGTATCACAAGAATCTAAAATTACAGAAGACACTTGTGTACAATATTTCCTCACAGTCCAATCCACGAACTATTCGAAGTCTTAGCTCTAATGGGACCGTATTGAGCCAGAGGGAGATTACTTTGGGCGAGCGCGAGACGGAGGCTCGTGTTGATAAGTTTTCATAGTTGACTTGATATCCTGCTCTCTTGCTCTTCTTTGTATAATCTATAGCTGACACCTTAACAGACTTTATAGCTGTACAACAGTTATTTGAGCTGTATATACCCTATCGTCAGCAGCTCATCTGAATCTTGCGTTCCCCTAGTCCTTCAAGAGAACATCTGCATTGCAGACGAAGGCTCGCGTAGTGAATCTCGCTCGCCCGAAATTCACTCACAACTTCAGCCGATCATCTCCATTTTTCCTCTATTATACACATCTTTTCTTATCGTTTCCAACGAAGCTCACATTTTTCTCTATGCTCACATGCGTTTTTCACAAAGTGAATTTTCTCACATTTTTTCTCAGCAGAATTCACTTTTTATGAAAAGTGTCCTAATATATATATTCCTATCGTTTTCAACGACTACGTGCGTTGCCGAGATTCTGAAGAAAGTGATCGTCGTTGCCAGGCATGGAAATCGAGCTCCGAATGCACCAGTGCCTTATCTATGTCCTAACATGAAAGTAAGCCTCATGTGGTGAAATATGAAAATTTTGATATTTTTCTCCGGAAATTTTGCGGTTTTTTAAACATTTTAAAACCCAAATCGTTTGTAAACTTCTGAGCTCAGCTGAGAAAAGCAAACATATACTCCTCCAAGATTGGAATTTTACGTGAAGTGGCTGTGAAAAACGCGATATTCGCGGTGATATGCAGTAGTCGTGGAATATATATTTCACAGTACGTACCAATTTGATATGCAAATGTGTGTTACTTTGGAAAAAGAAATTACAGTGAAAAAGTTGTTGCTATCACAGTTTCAAACGGGTACTTTCATCACAACACATGTTCATAGCCATTGTTACATCGTATATGCGATAGAGTTTCACATTGATTTTCATCAACCTCAAAAAAAATAAAAAATAATAGAAAGAAATAGAATAGAAGAATCAATAGAAGAATAACACACATTTGCATATCGAATTGGCACGTGCTGTAGTATTTTTCATATCACTAGGGTGGTGAAACTTCATTTTTTTCATTTCAGCAACAACTCGAAGAATTTCAGGAGCCCGTATTTTCAAAATACGGTGCGGCGCTTTCCCGTGTGGGACTTGCCGAAAATTGGGAAAGTGGAAAGTAATATTTGGGAAACGATTATATATTGGAGTTTCACCACCCGTTTTACGCGGAGTGGCGTAATACTCCACGTTTTGCATATCACATGAAAAACGCCACACATGTTTTACGCGAAATTCGCTGCTCATAAGCGTTTTTCATAATAATAACATTTCGCGCGTATCAAATAATGGAGTTTCACCACCCGTTTTACGTGAAGTCGCG